GCGACGCACACAGCGGTTAAGGTCAACTACGGCCTAGTCAACTACATCACTACATAATTTAAACATCAACTACAACACGCATAACTGCAATAAACATCAACTACAACACGCATAACTGCAATAAACATCAACTACAACACGCATCACTGCAATAAACATCAACTACAACACGCATCACTGCAATAAACATCAACTACAACAAGCATAACTGCAATAAACATCAACTACAACACGCATCACTGCAATAAACATCAACTACAACACGCATAACTGCAATAAACAATTAAAATGATATTGTGAATTATAATAAAATAATGACCCTATCCTCGTGTTCTTGTCGAGCGTCCGGCAACATCAACGCGTGAGGGCGGACGTGCACCGTCTACTTGTCGCGTGTGCAAGCGTGTTAAAAATTACTTTTAATATTAAAAATGTTTAAACTCATTTTTATCAAAAACCATTGTTATTATAATTCATTTTTGATAAAATTAAATTTTATTGCAATTTGTTTTTATTACAATTTGTTTTATTAAAATTCATTTTTATTACAATTCATTTTAACACAATCCATTTGTATTACAATTTATTTTTTTTAATATTCATTTTTATTACAATCCATTTTATATAAAGTCATCATTATTAAAATTCATTTTTTTACAATACATTTTATTGATAAAATTCAATTGTTTTGCAATTGGTTTTTATTACAATTTGTTTTATTAAAATTCATTTTTATTACAATTCATTTTAACACAATCCATTTGTATTACAATTTATTTTTTTTAATATTCATTTTTATTACAATCCATTTTATATAAAGTCATCATTATTAAAATTCATTTTTTTACAATACATTTTATTGATAAAATTCAATTGTTTTGCAATTGGTTTTTATTACAATTTGTTTTATTAAAATTTATTTATATTACAATTCATTTTTAACACAATTCATTTGTATTATAATTTATTGTTTTGAGATTCATTTTTATTGCAATCCATTTTTATATAAATTCATCATTATTAAAATTCATTTTTATTACAATTCATTTTTGTTACAATAATTTTATTGCAATTCATTTTTATTAAAAGTTATATATTCAAAATTCATCTTTTTAAATTCATTTTTATTACAATTTATTTTATTAAAATTAATTTTTATTGAAATTCATATTTTTAAAATTCATTTATATTAAAACTCCTCCATATTAAAATTCATTTTTTTAATTTCATTTTTATTAAAATTCGTTTACATTAAAATTCGTTTTTATTATAATTCGTTTATATTAATATTCATTATTATTACAATTCGTTTATATATCAATCATTTTTATTGAATTTTATTTTTATTTAAATTCATTTCTATCCTCATTTATTTATATTGGAATTCATTTATATTAAAACTCATTTTTAATAAAACTCATTTTTATCAAAAAACATTTTAATTAAAATTCATCTATATAAACATTCATTTTCATTGCAATTCAATTATATTAAAATTCATTTTATTAAAATTCATTCATTTTTGACATAATTCATTGATATTAAAATACGTATTTTTTAAATTCTTTTTATTAAAAAACATTATCATTAAAATATGTTTAAATTGAAATTCCTTTATATTAAAATTCGTTTATATTGATATTCATAATTATTACAATTCGTTAATATGTAAATCATTGTTATTTTGTTTTATTTTTATTGAAATTCTTTCTATCCTTATTCATTTTTCATTGAAATTTATTTAAAAAAAACAACTCATTTTTATTAAAAACAATTTTTAATAAAATTCATTTTATAAGTTCATTTCCAATAAAAATCATTTATAATAAAATTCATATTCATTGCAATTCATTTATATTAAATTAATTTGTATTAAAATTCATTTTATCAAAATATATTTTTATTACAAGTTATTTATATTAAAATTCATTTTATTATAATTAATTTGAATGAAAATTCATTTATAACAAAATTCATTTATTTTGAAAAGCATATTTTCTATATTCATTTTTATTAGAACTCATTTTCATTAAAACTATTTTTTATTAAAACTCATTTATACTAAATTTCATTTTTGATAAAACTCGTTTGTTTTAAAACTCATTTTTATTAAAACTGATAGTATGATAACTCATCTTTACTATAAATCATATATATTAAAATTATTTTATTAAACTCATATTCAGTAAAACTCGTTTTTATTATAAATCATTTTCATTAAAATTCCTTTTATTAGAAATTTTACTGATTCATGTCCCATTTAATTGAAATTATGTTCCGTTTTACTGTAACGGAGACCTTAGAAATTAAGTTAGATTAAGTATCGATTTCGAGAGAAATTTTGAAGCATTAAAGGCTGAACTTTTGACTGGCTTATGTGATACGGAGGTGACTCAAATGGTGTTCTAGGCTACTGTATTGCCCGCAGTGACCAGAGTGCAATTCACTTCCTATCATCTTTTTGATTTAATGCATGCTATGGGCCCTTTATCATGATTAATGCATGCCACGTTACTATTTGGTTTGACCCAACTTCAAGACGTCTCTGACGCATTAATTAAACTTGGCAGTATTGCCGGCTTTCGAGCCTATTAACTTTACGCCCTGTGGCGCTTTAACCCTATTAACTTAGTCACGTTGGGTCTACCAAGTCATTTATTAATATACTAACCTATGCACTCAATTGCACTTGAAAACACCTCTGTACCTCTAAACGGCTTTCAAGCCACTTCTAAATTTACCCCAGCGGTAATAAATTAGAAGGTTAGTCTCGAAATATTTAAACTTAATTTTGCATAAATTGCTCAATATATCTTGATCCTCATAATGATAAATTGCATACGATATAATAGCACTTGCTGATCAATCTAATCTTGGTTTGTAACTGGCAATTTACAGTATAACCTCCTCCTCCTGTGTATTCTCATACGTCGCATCTCTTTGCCGTGTGCTTCATGCCTCCAGTGCAGCCAGCGCGACATTAATTGTGCTGTACGCGTTATTTCATTTGAGGTTAGCTTGGGAATATGTGTTCACTGTCAAGTTTTGTACCGCTAAATTGGAATTACTGAGCATAATTGATAAACTCTTTCTCAAGTTCCGGCATTTATTTAGCAAAGTCTCTTTTTCTACTTTCAGTTCCCTAAACTGCATCCACTGCAGTTCCGTTATTCTACTTCGCTGGAGCCGAAGTTTACCTTCTGGAGTTTCAATAAAATTGTTAGCCGTTATGCTTGTATGAATTCCTTACACTTTATATTAAATCATCTTTATAATACAACTAATTTATATTAAAACTTATTTATATTCAACTCATTTATATTAAAACTCATTTTTATTAGAGCTCATTTCTACTAACACTCATTTATGTTAAACCTCAATTATATTAAAATTTATTTTTATTAAAACTTATTTATATTATAACTCATTTATATTTAAACTCATTTTAATAAAAACTCATTTATATTAAAATTCATTTTTATCAAAACTAAATTTTATTATAATTTATTATAAATTTTATTTCTATTAAAATTCAATTTTATCCTTATTCATTTCTATCTAAATTCATTTTTATTAAAACTAATTTTTAATATAAATTATTTTTATTAAAAAACATTGTTATTGAAATTAATTAATTAAAAAATTCATTCATATTAAAATTCATTTATATTAAAACTCCATTTCATTGCAATTCATTTACATTACAAATAATTTATATTAAAATTCATTCATAGCAAAATGCATTTTATTAAAATTTATTTTTATTAAAATTCAATTTTAACCAAATTCAATTATATTAATATGCATACTTCTTAATTAATTTGTAATGAAGTTCATTTTAATTAAAATTCATTTATATAAATATTCGTTTATATTAGAATTCATTTTTATACAAATTCATTTGTATTCAAATTCATTTGTATTCAAATTCATTTCATTCAAATTCATTTATATTAAAATCTTAAAATTTATTTTTAATTAAATTTATATCTGTCAAAATTTATTTTTATCAAAATTGATTTTTATTAAAATTCATATATATTAAAATTCATTTTTATTAAAATTCGTTTTTATAAAATTCATTTTTATTAAAATTCATTTTTATTAAAATTCATTTACTTTGGAATTCATTTTTATTAAAATTCACTTTTATTACAATTCATATACATTGAAATTAATTTTTATCAAAATTCATTTTTATTGAATTCATTTATATTGAAATTCATTTTTATTAAAATTCATTTATATTGAACTTCATTTTTATTATAATTTTTTCATATTAAATTTTTTTATCCTATTTTGTTTTTTATTAAAATTCATTCTTATTAATACTACTCATTTTTATTAAAATTCATTCATAATAAAAATCATTTTTATTATAACTCATTTCTATTATAAATCATATATATTAAAATTTTTTTATTAAACTCATTTTTGTTAAAACTCATTTTTATTATAACTCATTTATATTAAAACTCATTTATATTATAACTAATTTATATTGAAACTCATTTATTTTAAAACTCATTTTTATTAGAACTCATTTTATTAAATCTAATTTTTATTCAAACTCATTTTCATTAAAACTCACTTTTACCAAAACTAATTTCTATAAAATCTCATTTATATTAAAACTTGTTTTCATTAAAACTAATTTTTATTAAAACTCATTTGTTTAGAACGAATTTTCATTGAAATTAATTATTATTATGAAACATTTTATTATAACTCTTTTTTATACTCATTTATATTAAAACTCATTTATATCGAATCTCATTTGTATTGAAAATAATTTTTAATAAAACTCATTCATAGTTAAAATTATTTATATTTAAAATTATTTTTATTTATACTCATTTATATTAAAACTCATTTTTTTAAACTAATTTTTATTAAGCTCTCATTACACAAAGAGCAGCCATACAACACAGGTGTCATGCGATAATTATTGAAGAAGAGTTTTGGCTCTCATGTTCAGTGTGGCTCAAGGCTTCGTTAAAGTCAGGTGTCTCTTCACTCATCCATCAGAGTGCTCTTTGTTTCAGTCTGAATATTTAAGTATAGGACTGGAATTATTGAGAAAAATGACTACAACAGCTGGTGAAAGTCATTAAAGTTGTTGTTGATAAGTGCGAGCTGTTTCACGAATAAAAGGAGGTGACAATCTTTTCTAAGGAAAAAGATAGAGCTTAAATAATCAAGAAAATCTCTGTTTTAAATCTCAACTATGACTCCGAAGGTTAGAAACATGTGAAATTGATGTAAGGCTTATGTACATGTAGTAGTTATCGAGTTTCGGACATATGTATTTTTGAAAAGAAAATGAATGGTTTTGCTAAATCTGTGATTACGTTAATGATTAACACGGGACCTGTTTTTCGATCCGGAGAATCAAATATAAATTCCCGACTTTTAAAGGAGTTTATGGTGTAAAGATTGCTTACTAATACACTCTCTGCTTACTAATACAAAGACCTGCTTACTAATACACTCTCGTGTTCAGTGGCGGCGTAGAAGCGCCTTCAGCTACGCGACTTTCCTCGTCGCCATCCTCCCCTGGCTCTGGTGGATGAGCGCGTAAGTCGGGATCTTGCGAAAAAATTACCCTTGGGTGCGCTGAGTGCGAAGCTTAGGAAACTCGCAAATAAATTTATATTTTCTTGGTAAACCAAGTAACCACTGAAATTATTTTTAGCAAGCAGGGTGCAACAAGAATACATATAGTTTAATTTGGTCTTTATTAGAGAAGATTTCAAATTAAAAAAATTCAAGTTTTCAATCTTCTGAAAAATAACCCCCTTTAGGTTAAATTTGCCGAAACAGCTTAGAATTTACAGCTTAAAGTTCACGCCTGCAGTGAAAAATTATCGAAATGCTGTGCGAATCAGGCCTGTACGTTATAAAACGAATCCTTCTCATTCAGGATTCGAAAAAATATTATCTTTCGAAGTCCGTGTTTAAAAAATAAAACTCGATAGTACGATTACTGGACAGAACCTTTTCTTCTCATTTTAGGTTTAACCTTGCAATATTTGCAATCAATTATAAGCTGAGTGAAAAATACCTATTATAGTGTACGGTTTATGAAATTGGAAGAGGATGCTTGGCACTATTTTGCTCTTTATTTTCTGAAAAACCTTCTACGAGTGTGGCATTCGTGGAATACGAACCGTTAATTAATGCGGTAAGACGGTAATTATTTTTCAATTATTTTTCTATTTAAACCGTTAATTTCGTGATTCTGAAAGCCAAGGATCATTACAATTTCATTTTGTTTGTTACTGGTGAACGGTGATTAGTTAAGAATGATGAAGAATACCAATAGTACTAGAACTTGCCTGTATCATGCTACTAAATTTATTGCGGTTTCCACTGGTACTATTTTCTTCCTCAGCTGAGACTTTATTTTACTTTAATTTTGTGACTTCTGTTCCAAATGGATAAATTATCTACGCTGCTAAACTTGCAGGATAGGCACAATTTTATTTGTTTCAATGTGCGATCAAGCACCTGGAACGCTATATTTTTTTACTCAGTCATGTTAATAATAACTGAGTTTTAGAAGGGAAGGTTAGAAAACAAGCGGAATAACTTCACGGGAATGGTTCAAACGGTTCACGGGAACTTTACAATATTTTGATATTCGTAGAAAAAATCCAAAGCGACATTTTGAGCAAGCATGTATTCTCAACCAAATCGATCATGTAATAAATAAAAATTATAATATTAATGCTCAAAACTCTACGGATAACCGGAACAAGTTTTCGAAACCTCGGTAGTGTTTTAATTCGCCTACAAGGCTTCTATCGACGCAAACCCGTATATACCGTTCGCCTCGATAAGCGGTCATATCGCTAATATCCAAAGACACAATTAAGAATGGGAAGGAAATTGGGGGAGAAGTTGTGTTTTCTTTCAGTACATTCCGCGGACGAAAGTTTGCTCGACCGGATTTATCTGTGAGTCTCAATTGATACATAAGGATCGAATAAGATAATGAAACGTATTGCAATGCGACTTCGATACATGGGAAAAAAATTATTCTACGGCTTGGATTGATGGGGCGTGTTAAATTCAAGTGGAAGAGAAACCGGGGTTAAGGGGAGCTCCAAGTGTGACTATTGATTATTCTATTGACAGCTTCGGTCACTACTCGACACCAAGCATGGCCCTCATGATACTAATTACGCTTACGAATTGAGAGCCTCCCATAGAGCCTCCTCGCTGAGTCGGGATTTTCTACCGTCAAAACATATGCTCCCAAAAGGCTTCCCGCCGTTATTGCTTGTTCCATGTAATCTTGTTTATATTTAGCTTCGTGATCTATTTAGCTGCATCAAAGATATAATTTGCGTTTAAACGTTGAAAAATGTATAACGTTATCGCCTCAATGCTTCTTCATCCTGTGTGCAGGAGTTGAGGAGCTATAGCAAAAAGTCATTTATTTTAATAATGATTATGGTACAGCTGATCGTATAGGCAGGTAAGTTTCTTTCATACTGTTTTATAGCGCCATTCGTGAATTCTCTGCAATTGTTAGGTGACAACGGATTTCATCGCAGGAAGCATGATTTCTTGTTTATGTTGATTCATAATCCCACATTGGTTCTGTACACACTAATATATGATAGGAGCAAGTTCCCAGTTCCGATTACTATGCCCTTAAAAAACAAGTATAATGTGTGCTAAATAAATGATGTGAAACAAATGTGGACCGGAAACGCCTCTTAAATTCTACGATGCCCTCGCAGATCCGACAACGGGACGAAAATTAAGGGCCTCGCACTAAACCCTGGCAGCTTCCATAGCTTGTCGAGTCACGCAAGGCTGTCCTCAACAATGCATGATTTCCATCACAACGAGAAGGCAAATGATGTAAACCGAAAAACCAAGCGATCACTTCAACAGCTGGCAAAATTGTCCTCTGAGAATTCGTCGTCTATCGAACTTGGGTCCAGGCAACGTGAGAACGAGATATCAAGTTCTAACGGCAATGTGGCAGAGAAACCGCTCACTTGGCTACAAATTATTCAGGCTGAACTGCAGGCTAGACCCGAAGACCTGGTCAAGGAACGTGTTCTCGTGAGGTGAGACAAGCGAGAATGAATATGTGCACAAAAATTAAAAGCTTGCATGAAAAATTCTTTTCGTGGAAGTTTACTATTAAATAGACAACAATTATTTGAGAATTTATATTACTGATTAAAGATTCCCAGCAAAGCCCGGAATTCTTTGCAAACTATAGGGTTTACAAATCTATATCAAATTATTTCCAATAGTTCTTCCATTTTCGAGATAAGCCAATTTTCCTTTGATCACCGTTTGCTCTGAAATACGCCATGTTTAAATAAAAATGAAGACGGCTTCACTTTACTTGCGAAGTAAATAATTTCATTAACTGTATTAACTCACCACAGCCCCGGCATAACTTCTCCTACTACGAAAGAAGAAAACCAGCTAAAACGCATTCTGTTTTGGAATCATGTAAGTTGAGATTTTACATTCTTAAAAGACTATTCTTTTAACACACACTCCAGTTTGAGAAAATATAAAGTTATGAATAGCTTCGAATCTGACGAGATTTATTTCTTATAACTCGGCGAAGTGATTGTAAAATCATATAGTCGCATGAGCGACCAGCATCCTTTGACATAGAATATCTGATTACAGAATATGTATTTTTGAAATTCGGTACCAAGAAGGTTTGTCCCCGTTGTGTATATTGTATCTCTAGACTGTATGTAATTTGCTTGCGGCAAATAAATTTAAATAAACTTATCTTCTTGACGTAATGCTTTGATTCCGCTTCCCCGACCGCAAGGAAACTTTCTACTTCGGCGTGGGGCGAGATCCATTCCTGCGTGCCGGCTGCCCAGTGAACAGCTGCTACATCACCACCAACCGCAATGAGGTGCCCTACCAGGAGCTTGATGCTCTCGTCTGGATCCCCCTTGCAGAAGACAGAAGCTTTCCTCCCGTCCGGTAAATTATACCACCGTCAAATTTGATGAAAAACATTATTAGACTCTACGGCAGGAAGTTAGATCTGCGCAGAATAAGAGAACATGATGATATTACCGCTGTAACCGCTACAGCTACACTGATTGATATATTCGAGTCCTCTTGCATGGGCAGGTAGCATACAACTCAACAGTTATTGACTTACTGACTGAAACAAGCTTATGTATATGACTGATGTTCTTGGGCGACTGATTGCTTACACTAAATTGTTTTCATGAATTATCGTGACAGTGCTCAGGAAAAATTGAAATCAGCAACCTCGTGGAAAATCAATCAGTAAGCTCTTCTCTCTCCTCACATGCAGGTCGCCGCACACTCGCTACGTCTACTATCTGTGGGAGTCTCCGCTCACGGCGGGCGTCAACACAAATGAATTAGAAAAAATCAAGGGCGTCTTCAACTACACCATGACTTATCGAAGGGACTCTGACATCTTCAACCCGTGAGTCGAGCAGAGATGACATCATGAAATCGGAATAATGTATTTTACGTCAGATGTGCTTCTCTGTGGACATCTGATATGAATAGTAATTAAGGAAGACCTGAGTTTTGGTCCGGCGTAGCGTGATTTGAGGATAGTGATGATAGCGTAACGATTTCATAGTATTATTTGGGGCTAAAGTACGGCTTGCAGTTTAGGATGAAATTGAGCTATACGTTTTAGCTTTAACTTTGATGTCTTTGGCGTCCAGTTGAAGTAAGAATTAGTAAGTCTAGAGTATTTCCACGGGGCGTTCTCTACTCTAACGTTGAGTTAGCAGTACTGTCCTGTTCGACATGGACAGGACCATAGGGTTACACCGACAGCTGTCATGGCCCAAGACTGAAGTTAATCGCTCGAGACAGAGCTTATATAGCTTCGCTATTTGACGTCACCAAGAGCGTGACTTGATAAACAGGGAAGGCTAACACATGATATGTTTATTAACATATCGCAATGAAGGAAATTATCTTTCAACAAGGAAGTTATTAATGAGGAAATGTCAGGGGTCGAATGGTATTAACATCGTCACCTTACATTTATTTGATGTCTAGCCTTAGACTTCGTGACTGAATAGTTGTCGTCAGTTGTTTTGATACCTTCTTGAATGTTCTTACCATAAATCATTAACAATTATTCATGCGCTTGCAGGTGCACTGCTCTCAAATGAATATTGAACATTCACGAAGAATCGTAAAAAATCACACCATTGCTGATCATTCACAAGAAAACCTCACAAACCTCGGTTGCCAACAATATGCCACCATACTAGATAAAGCAGGCACAGGATTGTTGCACAATGATAATAATTTCATCGTCGGAGATGAGACCGTCAGGTCCGACGGCGATTATTTACGTGGCCTTACTTTGACAATTAACTACGTTTCTCGAACACTGCTACAATGTTCCTGTGCAATGCCGCCCGGTCACCTTGCTGATTACAATGAGAACTTTTACAGTTGGCTACGGTTCTCGAACCCATAACTCACAAATCCAACTCACCTTAACCACTCGACAACCCTGGTGTGAAAATAATCATTTAAATTAGATGAACGAAAAAACAAACACGAATATTACAAAGTTAGTTCCATACCAGATTAACTCACCTTTATTTTATGGAAGCTGCCAACTTATTTCCAGGTACGGAAGTTTCATTCGTCTCGAGACACATCGAACGCACCTTCGAAACAAGGACTACGCGCGCGGCAAAACCAAACAAGCGGCGTGGTTCGTGTCGAAATGTGGCGCCGTGAATAGCGGCAGAGCCACGTGAGTTGACAGCTGAGGACAAGGAAATTAGTCTCATTCTCTATGTATTCAGTTTACCAATAATTAATAATGAAATATATCTATTACTCTTCAATCTTAAGTATATTATGGATTGTGTGAAGTACAATAGCCTTACTCAAGACTTGTTTTTCCTTAAATGCAGTATGTTTAATAGGTAATACGAGCAGTTCAATGCTTTATCCATTTTATGCAGTATTCCGAGATCCTTTTCTAAACGTGGCCGCCTTTGATTTTTTAATAGAAAAAATTATGCATCGAGTTTTCTTGTGGATAAATTTTTGTTCTCTTTCCTCGGTAGTTTAGGGCAGGAACTCGAGCGCTATATATCGGTGGACATCTATGGCGCTTGTGGGACGATGAATTGTCAAAAGACCGATCATGACTACTGTTATGGACGAGCTGCTGCGATGTATAAATTCTATCTCAGTTTTGAGAATTCATTGTGTGACGACTACATTACTGAAAAATTCTTCTTAACTAGTAGGTAAGACTTTGAGTAAGCTAATTGTAGAGAGAAAAGTTGCGGTTATTATTTCGAAGTAATTCGAACTCTAAGAATGTACAATATCCATTTTTCTTCATTTTTAATGTAATTATTCAAGTTTATCTAACTCATTAGCAAGCAGTGGAAAATCGTCAGACAAACCACTTAAATTTTTAATAATTTTCCTTTACATTAAAATGTGTAGATAATTTATTGTGACTTTCGATGCATTACGCTGTGAAGTGCACAGCTTGAAAGTGCGACGAAATACAGTAAAAAAGTGAAATACAGTGCGACGTGGGGGACAGTATGCCGCGCCAATTTGTTACCACACCAAATGGTATACAAGGGCTATATCTGCCACGTCAATCAATACACTGATTTGTGATCCATTACTGCCCTAAATTGTCATTAAATATTGTATAAAAGTATAAAGTAATTAATGCATTTCACTGTTCCCCGTGTACGCAGCACCTCACTTCCCCCACATAAAATTTATGTAAGCAAAGCACATTAATTTATTTATGCAAAGCAGTAAGCAGACCGGCACTTTTATTCTCAAGGTACGACATCCTGCCGGTGGTGTACGGTTTGGGCGCGTATGAGGAGACCGCACCGCCGCACTCTTTCATCAATGTCTTCGACTTCCCCAGCGTCCGCCACCTGGCAGACTACCTCATCTACCTCGACAAAAATGACACCGCTTATAACGAGTACTTTCAGTGAGTGTCAACGAGACCAAATATACGCTAACTCAACCCCCTTGACAGCAAACATGGGACGTGTTTTATACGTGGAGCGTGTTTAATATCTTTGAAAGGCTTTTATAATAGAATCTAGAATAATTAAAATCAATCGATTGATCATTAACTGTAAATTTGCAAGTAAAAAAAACATAAATTTGTATCACTATCATGGTTAGCGTTCCACTGTTGAAAAAATGTAAAAATTCAAGCAGGAGTAGAACAATTACACAAAACAGAAGCGAATTTTCAGAGAAGATATTATAATCTAAATAGAAAAGTAATTGCATCTAACAGAGTATTGGGAAATAAAAATGAGAGCACGAACCTGTCTGTAAGAGTCTTAAATACTAGAGGTCTTCTATATCCAAACTAGGCCTCTATTCCGAAAAAGTCCAATGTTTCTAAAGGAACATTTCAATTTTCACAATCAAATCTGGAATTTCACAATTAAAATCTGGTAGCTACATAAGACTGTTTTGCATGAATTAGATCAGCTAAATGAAGTGGATGCTCAAGTCATTTCCCGAACTCGTGTTTCGCCAGACTTGCGTACCATATCATTAAAATAATAATATAATAATTCAGACGAACACCGATGCGCACTGCGCACAATTGTAATTGTCAACTAGAAAAATATCGACAGAAAGAATGGCTGAATATCCAAGGACAGATGCGACCATAAAGTTATTGACCAACAATTCATTGATTTCGAAATGAAGGAGGCATCTAATTTGCAAAATTTTCAATTCCACGAATGGAGTTGGATATCATTTTGACAGGCATTTCTTCATTCAACAAACCCAGCGCGCGACGGAAACGTGTTTAGAAAGAAATTATGGCTCATAAGTTCAAATTCAGAATGCATATAACGAAATGATCAAATATGAATGCCGCGGTGTATTCGAGTTGAAAATTCCTTCAATTCGAAAGCCAATGAAGCGGCGGAAAAAGTTGGTGCTTGAAGCGGAAAATATTAATTTTTGGAGAAAAACCTGAAAGGGATAATTACTGATGAATTATAAATCGCTTCAAATTTCTTTGTTACCTTGAAATCCTCAATTCTACGAGATGAGAGAAGAAATGGCTCCAGTGAAAGGGGTGCTCGAAGGCATTCATCGTACTATATATTAAAAAATCGAATCTTAAAAATTATCGAAACGAAAAGACTTTAGCCAAGTTAGGGCCGAGGGGCCCTATAGGCTTGACATCAAATTTGTCTGTAAATTATAGCAATAATATTCAAACTTAGTATTTTCATACACATAATGGATCATCCTATCATGTTTATTTCCTTTTAATATATCTTCCAATTCCCTATGCAGAGTTTTCATATCTTCTCTGTAAATTTGGTTGCGTGAATTTACTGACCTTGTACGTATTTTACACCAGAAGATAAGGCTAACCTTGAAAGATTTTCAAATAAAATAATGCAGAACTTGATGTTTAGTATTTCTGCATTTGATTTTTCTTTATATATAGCTAATATATTAATTTTATTTAATTTACCGTCATTTGTAGGTGGAAAATCAATTATGAGGCCGTGAATAGTGAGACAAACTTCTACACCCACAACAAGAGCGTGTCTTGGTGTCAGCTCTGCGAGAAACTCCACACAGACAAGGAGGTCAGAATCCACACAGATCTACACGAGTGGACCAGCCCCTCTCCCAGCTGCTTATCCTTCACTCAAGGAGCCGTCGACAAATTCCTGAAAGGGGAAAACGCATCCAACCTTGCGTGAGGGAATGTTTTTAGTTCTTAGCGCTTCTGTTCGAAATATGCCACGAGAGATGGGACTACATGTATAAGTAATCTGTACTGCTCCTTCTACATTTATTAAAGTCATACAATCCTCAACGTATTATTTTTACTTATGTCATGCCATCCACCCAAACGACGTGTAAATAAAGACATCAGGCATGTGGCATTAAATAAAATCTGACACCGATTCGGTCGTTTGTAATGTACGAGGCGAGTTGTATCAAGTAATAATAATAATAATAGCGGTTTCAGCGTTATTAGGCCGTAGGCCTGTCGCCGATTCTTAACATCGCAGAACATTCACAGCATTTTGCGGTCTCGAACTCACAACTCACTGCTTCAATTCTGCTGTGCTTAACCGCCCGGCCTCCTTACCGATTCTGACCAGAAACTGGCGCACAGAGCTGGGATCGAACCCGCGCCTCTCTGCGCCAATCTTGGTACTCTGAACTTAAACCACTGGGCCACCCTGCCCATGGTAAGTAACAATCGCTTTGAAATAAAAAAGACGGGCAAGGATCTGTCAGTACTTTTACATTACATAAAAAAGTACATCTTATTCTACTTTTATACATAAGTTACTACAATATTGAAGTCATGTCATAACGATGTAGCATTTTTCGAGTAACGTCATTAAATGCTCAGGTTGAGAACCGCGAGCCCTCAGGCAGGTTCGGCTGGTGCCCTAAGGGATTCACTTCCTTGGCTCATTATAACTCCGCTCGTAAATTAAATATCTATATGAATTTTTACATGATTATTCAGATATTTAGTTTCAATTTCTCTACAGAAACCAAAAATATGTAAACTTTGTGTAACATCCGTAATGATATAGGAAAATGTTGTACGTCGAGGTTCATAAGTACATATTAAAATCACTTGTTTGATTGAATCGCAAGTTAACCAGGAATTTAAAAGCAAAGAAAATACCACAAAAATTCACCATATCTTTATAAGAGAAAACGTTTCTTAGTCCAGCTCCATCGTCTGTTCATAACACAAAATTCTGTTCAGAAAAAGTTCAGTCCTAGAAACATATATTCAAACAAAACTGTATTAAACTGTATATATTCAAACAGAAGCCTAGTCTTAATGCTGCTTTTAGCTCCTTTCCTCTTGAAATAGTAAATAGATAGGCCGTTTACTAGCGTCAATTTCATGTCTTATTTATTTCCGTTTTGAAACCTGACAGTGCATTTTACTTTACTAATTGATTTATTTATGTTTCTAGGACTGAACTTTTTCGGAACAGAATTTTGTGTTATGAACTGACGATGAAGCTGGACTCCGAAACATTTTCTCTTATAAAGATATGGTGAATTTTTGTGGTATTTTCTTTGCTTTTAAATTCCTGGTCGATGTTCATTTTGCATGCGACTTGCCGAAAATTTGTGAGACATTAGGAGATAGAACTAGTTATTCTCTACTGATAACTAGTTATTCTCTACTGATCGGTATTAAATGAATCAACCTCTATTTTAAAGATATTTCTCACCTAGTTATAGTTAGTTAGTTCTCAACTAGTTATATAGATGCGTTCTTTCATGTGGAGTGAAAATCCGGGTATTAACTGTTAAAACGCAGGCGTTGTACGTGGAAGGCATGAGAGGGGAAACAGACGTCGAAATTTGCTTACCTGTCAGTCCACGACGGGCGGCACGGAGAAGGGGAACTCAATGAGGGGCGAGAAATAATACGTGGCCAGCGGTCGGCCAGCTGAAACCCGCCAGTTGCCGCAAAAAAAGCTGGCTAGGAAATGCCGTTTACCAAATTATTAGATGCCTTTACCAAAAATTAAGCACTTGATTAACAAATGCTCATCAAATAATGTAAAGGATTCTAATGGAAGTATCTAACTCGTGATCAATTGAGTTTCACCTAAATTCAATTAGTATGGTTTTAAATCATCAGTCAAAGATTAATTATCAGAGCTAATTCATCACTGAATTACACATTTTAATGAGGCTAAGAAGAGCGCTCAGAATTCACATTGCCATTCAGTTTTGTAATAATTTTTTTGCCATCGAAATACCGATGATTGGTTGGAAGTAATACTTCAATGTAACGCATCTATAATGCATCGTCTTACCATCCACATTTGGACCTCAACAATACAATACAAAACAGTACAGTACAATACATTACAATACAGTATAGTACAATACTATACACTACAATACAATACGATACACTACAATACTGTACAATGCAATACCATACAATACGATACAATACAAAACAGTTCATGGTTTACGTGAGCAACAATGGTTGACCAAGTTGGGCCACAATGTCGATGGGCCCAGTTTGCACCTATACCTATTGGTAAACCTCTGCACGCTACACTGTTAGAAAAAAACGGTGAAAAAACGGTCCCACTGGCGTTCTAGTGGCCGGTCGCCCCGTGAAAATAAACTGTTTCGCCGTTTTTATCAGATGTTTTACGGATTTCTAGTGTTAAATTAGAATAAAAACGGTGACACGGTGTTTCTTTTCACGTGCCGACCGGCCACTGAAACGCCGATAATACCGTTAACGGTAATTTTTCTAACAGTGTATAAAACATGACATGTCCTTATTGTTTTGGTGCGATTGAAATTATATTTGATTGCTTTGGCTAGCCATCATTTGAGGGATTTTATTTTATTATCTCATCTACATGGATCAAACAATGCGAAATTCAATCACTAATGTAAATAATCAACAGGTGAACCGAGGCTCTTTCGCTTTGTGTGCTTCAGCAATAAAAGACCTCATTTATCTAGTATCACTTTGGCGCCCCCAAGTGAACAATTATAGAAAATAATAATAATCAAGGCAATAGAATATATGACGAAAATTTTAGGCTTGCTTCCCTTCGACTGTTATATAAAGCAAGTGAAGCCAAACATCCCGTGGACATTGTACGGAATTGTTGTTCACGCTGCGACTTGTTTCTGTTTGTGGTGTGAGCTTCAAAACAAACTTGATTTTACGGTGGGAGGCAAAATCCTGAAATTTGCAGACATTTGCACCATTTTAAGCGTCAATTTTCTGTTTATAAGCTCAGGCTGCTTGGCAGAACCAATAAATTTCTCGAGCAAATATGGTGTGCCAAAAGGAAGGTGGAATAAATGCAAAGTTTCCAGTAATTGACAGATACTCATTTGTTTTTATTGCTGCATTATCTGGTTCATGTGTTCAATATATGGTAATGGTATTTACAAACTCGACTGGAGTTTGCATTGAAATCCTGCAGGGTATTTCGATGGTCGGAAGCGGTGCCGCGGTGGCATTTTTCCGTGCATCGTGTCACAGCATTTTTGGAGTCACCGACGAAAAATGCGGGTGCCTCCTGGCGAGAACGTCAGAGAAATGTGCAAGAAAGAAGACCGTGGAAATTTGCAAAGATTTGTCTCAGGAAGCTGTAAATTTCGAAAGATTCCTCCTAGTGGTAAGTTTATAATAAGATGGAAATAAAATGGTTTGTTTCATGAGTGTTTACATTTTTGAACATTACATTTTCATTTCGTTACGATTCTGAGCATGCAATCAATACAAGATGAGAATTCACGACATTCAGAATTTCGCTGGATGACCACAAAAACTTCTTCACGGTGCTCGATTTTTGGTCGAAAATTAAAGCGTAAGATTAATGGCATTCAAGTTGTCGTCTGAACTACATTGGATTTCCTGCGAGCTAAATATTCGCACGGTAAACACTTAGAGAAAAAAGTAATATATGCAGTTTTTTGTGAATCATCTTTCCCTATATTTTTCTTAACATCTCTCTTGGAGTTTTGATTAATGTTCGCATGACTGACTTTGAATTTCACTTTCATTTAACTAAGTTGCCAATTTACTTGGAAATTTCTTTATTATGATTAAATTCGAATTGAAAATTAAATGTAACATTATTCAAACCAATCCTATGCTTGAAAATAATTGAATTAATTTTGAACTTAATTTTGAAGGTTGGAAAGGTTAAGACGCGCCAACTGGGAGCTACACCTTAAGCATGACATTCATCATCGTCGGCAGCAAGAGCAACATGGCTTTCTTCTATACCGCGACGCTCACGCTTCATTTCAACCAATTAAGGTTCCCGGCCGCTGTCGTTGCAGCGCTTATTCTCTTCATCTATGACACAGGCGATGAGTTTACACGCAATGTGAGTCAAGAGAGAAAGGCGATTCATTGTTTTGACCCACATTTAGTAAGAATATTAGTATCTTATCCCGTGTCAGTCTGCATAATTTTGCAGCGTTACATTCGCACCGAGTGTAGGTACTCGTACAATTCAACCCATGCAATCCGACATAGGTTAAAGCGGAAGATCAGTTAAAGCGAAATGTGAATCATGAATGGAATGTGGGTCATTATTTGGAGATTTCTCAGTGCGGATTCCTGTATCTTAATTACAGAGGGAAATTGGTTAACATACAAGAAACATTTAACGTGCATTGAGAAAGAATATATTGAAGAGGAATAAATAGGGAATAATTAATTTAAAACGAATCACAAAAGTTAACTAATTAAAAATGAATTCTGCCAGTTCTCAACTACCAAAAAATTACGCTTAGAATTCAACAAAAATGTACTTCCTTAATGAATGGTAAATTATTCCCTACCTGAATGATATTTCTATCCACAAAATATGAACTTAATAATAAAAATAATCTAACTATTATTATTTCCTACATTAATGATATTTCTATCCACAAAATATGTACTTAAGAATGAAATATATTCTAACTTCTCTGGTAAAGTATTTTCTTACAGAATATTGTGCAATATAATTTAAAGAATCGTAATAATTATTGTTTGCATTCTAATTGAACAAGTTAGCTGATGCTGTGAACGAAACTTCGGTGGATGTACATAACCTGGATCTTTATAACCCGGTACATATTTAGGCCAAGAACTACAACAACGCGTTTACTAATAATGGTTATATTTTTCACTACATATAGTTCTGACACTCGTACGAATACTCATTCATCTGATACATAGCGTTTAAAATGGAGCTGCTATCGCAAAACCATTATAAATTTGCTATTTATTTATGATATAAAGTAATT